TAGCCTTTACTTCATTCCTTCTTTTTCTAATGGAAATGGACATATTCATCCCTGTCCAAAATTAGTATGTTGTGTTGTCTGTTTCCACCCCACCCTCCAAGATCTGCATCCTCAAATTAGAACTGGCATGATCTAATTAAGATTGACATTAAAAAAATGCCAGAGTAGGAGGAATGGAAGTAAAGGATTATATTTTTTGCTTCTGCCTAGGAGAATCTGAAAGATGTTTGAACCTACATGTGTGTTACTTCATAAGTTGTTAGAAAATTAATTGTCTGTTCTTAGACTACAGAGCCACACTGTGCTCATTATACAACACTTAAAAGATGGAACTAAAAAGGTTGAAGGTAAATCAAACAGTCTTTGGCTGCCTTGTATACAGAAGACCAAATGTGTGTTGGGTTTAAGTGGGGAGCAACCAGAAAGTGTTCAAAAACCCTGCTTTGTCCTAGCAACTGCCAGATGCAGCTGGCTATTTGAGTGCTATATTTTAATGCCTTAGTATTTGGTCAAAGCAAATGACAATTTCCTTTGATCTTCAGGTGGTTTAATACTGTATTGCTGTTGCTGCTTCTAGATGCATTGATTCAGGTCTGGGAAAAGGGCAATTTGGGGAAAGCTTGCCTACTGAAAAATGAAACTGTACCTCCTCAGTTATCTGAACAAAAACCTTTTTTACTAACTTCATAATGGCTGAGATTGCATATAAAAGTGTTCTCTGTTTAAGATTTATTTTATATAGTACTGTTTCTCCTACTCGTAAGTTTAATATATTAATTTGATTTCTTAGCATTGTATAACAAACTATTCTTACAAGTTTTGCTGTATTTAGTATCTGTCCCATTAAATGTAACATGGTTTTATATTATGCATCATGTGTTAGCCATTCTTCACAGGAAGCTGCAGTTTCACTCATCCAATTGAATTCAGCTATCAGAACAGATTTTTGGAAAGCACCTCCTGAAAGGGTTCACATAGTGGGTAAAGATTTGATAGATTTTGTCAAACCCACCCTGAGTGCCCAGCCTGTGAAAATGGGCTGGCAATAAAGTGTTAATAACCTGAATTAGACACTTGGATGCTCCAGGAATGGGTAATAGCATAAAATTCTAATATAGATAGATTTGCTGATTTTTTTTTTTGTTTTTTGTTTGTTTTATCCAAATCCTGCCCTCCTATCTTTTTGTCAGAAATCTAAAATTATCCCAAGTGAACTGAAGCTGTGTGTTTATGTAATTAGGACAGGAGACATGTAGCATGGTGTTTTGGCCTGAAGGGGTTACTCATTATTGTTATCTGTTAAACACTAACAAGTGTTCACCAATCTCTCTGTCTTGTCCAGATGAAGAATATGGTCCTGAAAAAGAGTTTACAATCTAAGACCTCAGGTTGTTGTTGTTTGGTTAAACTTGGAAATGAAACAACCACTGACTTTATTTTGAAGAGTGTGTTCTCATCTGGAGGGTGGTTCACTATATTTGGGTGTAAGCATATTGTATTCTTGCTTATCTGCAGAGGATTGCAGTTATCCTAAGAAGCATTCTCTGTAAGATGGTGTGTGATGTCATCTCGAATATTATGTATATAACCCCTCTGTCCCTAGCAATTCAGACATACAGGAGGTGTCTGTATGTACTTTAGTGTTAGGATCTGTGATGCAGACTGACAAAGTATATGAAAAAAAGGCTGGAGTCTACCCACAGAACATCTTCCCCATGTTGTTATGAGTCCCAGAGTGAGAACATCAGGAATGATACAATGATTAAAGTCAGGAAACTAGGAGCTCATCCAAACCAAGGAGATGGGAATTCTCTGGCTTAGCAGAGCACCAAGAGTTGCAGTCGCCCTTTCTACTTAAGTCCCTTATTGTATACTATCAAATAAGCCATGTACCCCTAAAAGAAAGTCTTTCTAGGGCTGTGGATAGATGTAATATTACCCTGTTTCAAAAAGGAAGAGGAGACTTAGTGCTCAGGAAGACATGCCACCTGAGTTGGTGTGATTTTTGTTGTCTGTCCACTCCTATGCCAATAAAGTGGAGCTAAACTGGTATAACTTTAAATGTGAATGGCAGAACTTCCACTTAGAGAGGATTAGAGAGTATAAACAAAATAGAGCAGGTCAGATGTAAAGCACTATTATTTTAAAGCACTACTTTAGATGTAAAAATGTAAAGCACTACTATGCCATAAGGCTTGTGGCAGGGTATTGACCACAGCCCTTCATTTTATCAAGCTTGTCTCAGCTTAGTCGGGGCTGTGGGGGACTTTGGGTTTTATAGTAGGGACTAACATAGGACACGGGGACGGTTCACCTCTGCATTTGAGAAGGAGGTAAATTTACTGGATACCTGCAAGGTGTCATCATCCCTGTCAAGAAACAGATCCATTACCAATTATATATTCCCGATCACAAGAGGTACGTTCCACAGGCAGCCTCCAGGGACACGAAAGTCTTCTTTATAACAGACCTGACAAAGGCATTGCTTGTCCACCTGATTCTTCTTTTATGCATAAACTTGAGCATGGACCAATCACTATTCTGCTATGGTGCAGCTATATTACACATCCTGTCATGACTGACAGCAGGTATCTCACTTATCAGTAGAAATTTTCAGTGAAGCCACAGGATTGATATCAGTGGCCTAATAAGATGCAGTGCATTTGTTTTGTGCATTACATTATAATATTGCACAGGTTTTCTAGTTGGAACCATTCCTGCCCTTGGGGCGGGGGGCTGGACTCGATGATCTTCCGAGGTCCCTTCCAGCCCTAATGTCTATGAAATCTATGAAATTATCTGATGGGCACAGGATGTCCCCCCTTTGTTAGCAGTCTATAGTAAGGGTCTAACTGAAGTAGTCTAGAAGAAAAGAAAATCATCCATAGGTAGATGATGAAGTGAGGTCGGAAATTAAGAAGTAACCCTAATGACTAAGGTCACAGACCTGCAACCTGGCTCCCACTACCAAGACCGTTCATAGCCCCTTTTATCTCAGTGGGATTCCATGACAAACTAAGGTTGGCTGGGCAGATCAGAGTTTAGGATCAGGGTGTTTGTGTTTGTACAATATGAATAAGGGGGAGAGAAAAAGATCTCATTCAATCCAGTGACCAAGGCAGTTATCGCTCTCTAATTCCTAAACATGCCAGGCAGCAACAGGGCTCTACTGTACAAAATACTCAGTAGAACCTGGTTTAGACTACAAAAACTTGGGAAAACCCTGCCCTCCGCTGGCCCATCGTTGCATGCATCCACACTCAATTTTGTGTCCTAAGGACAAAACAGTGAACTTCGGGGTAAACTAAACTTACTTCTCAAGGGATTTAAGTCCTTTCTTGGTTCTCTTTGACAGCACAATCGCTGGATGTTACATTGCCAGTACTGGTACAGCCAGCCTCTGGTAACAATCTCTTAATGCTACTGTTTCAACAGCAATGGCTGCTCTAGTTATATTTTGAGTGCCCAGGGGATCACAATGCCTTGAAAACCTATCTCTCTCCCCTGTTAAAATCCCCGGTATGTTTTGGAATGCCTCTCTTCCTGCTAGCTCATGTCTGCAAGCGTTCAGATGTTGTTTTGTAGAAACCCACAGCTAAAGCTCCAGCTTACTCTCATGCTGTTGCCTGTTCCAGGAAAGGAGTCCTGGTCTTGGATTTGCTTGGGCTGTGGGAGGGAGAGGAGTACAAGCCTGTCTGGGATTCACAGATGCATATTCAAATACTGCAATGATGATGCAGATGCTGGGGTGAACAGGGACAAGCAGCAACGCCAGGCGAAGGGGATAGAACGGGAACTGGAGGGCAGCAAAACTTTGGGTGCTGGCCCCCAGAGCTGTAGCTGCTTTACAAAGTTTAGATACCCAAATGATCAGAAACCCCACCCACCTATAACTGATAGTAGAAGCCTTTTGACACCAAGAGGAAAACATCCCAGAACTGCACAGTAACAAGATGCTCATTAATGGGATTTCCTTAAGACCCAGCCAAAATCAAGAATGATTTCAGGCGAGGCCAGGCACTCATAAGCGATTTACTCATCCCATTTTTAATGCCCTTTTTAAACTTTTTTCAGATCCCCTGACATGAACCCAGAGGCATAATGGGAAGCCTAAGCACAAACAGGGCAGTGTCACTGGCAGTGTAGTGGTGTCTGGGCCAGCAGCACAACTGCTGCTATTTTTGTGCCCCACCCCTGGGTCAGTTCCTTGGGTTGGTGGCCCAGTTGCCCTCCCTTCATTATGCTACTGTTTCAAGCCCTTCTCTCTTGCCTCTGCCCTTTCTCCCAAGATAGTGGCAAATTGCCCATGGGCAGAGAACAAAGGCATTCAGTTTTAAAGAAGCCAATTTTATTTTAAGAGCATGCACTGGTAATGAGAGACAAAATGGGAGGAAAAAATTCTTTAAGCAACCAAAAAAAGCATTGCCAAATACACGCTTTAGTAGAAGCCTTTGATGTTTTCAAAGTAAAAACTTTTGCAAGAAGAAAAAACCTAGTAAAAACAATGCAAATCTAATTCAGCACATTTGAAACTGGAAAAGAAATGCATACTAAACACTATCTGATCATTTGAGTTAAATATATTTAAAACAATCATAATTAAAAAGAAAATTTGAGAGTAATCAAGTAACGGGTCATTCAGATGGCATGGTTTTGCAGAACTGTGATGCACTGATTCTGAAGGTCCCTCCCAACCCTGTGTCCTATGCAAACTTTATTGGATGTAGATTTTCAAGTACAAGACAAAATACCTGACTGCTGTGCATAGATTCAGGAAAGGTACTGTTGCTGATTTGAGGGGGAAGAGAAGGAGGGAGGTTTGAACGGGCACATGGGACTAGTCAGCCAATACGACTCTTCAATTTACAGACTTTTGCCGCTATCTTGGCCTGAACAGCTTTTTATCACCTACTACTAAAATGTTTAGGCAAATATATTTTAGGTCTTCCCCCATGCATTTCTACACAGAGCAGCTGTGTTCCACCACCATGGTTACATACCTTCTCAAGCCACTTTGCAGTAAGCTCTGTGGAGGATCATCACCATTAATGGGCTGGCAAAATATGGTCTTGTGCAAGCTTGAGCCATCTTAAGCATCTCCCTTCTTGGGTCTTTTGCACTCTGCGAGTAGTATGTCTCCAGGATCACCATGTTTAGCCACACTTCTGGCAATGTCTCTGCACCTCTCCCAAACCTCTGTGCCTAGCCATGCAGAAATAGAAGGTTTTGAAAAAGTATCCCTCTATGTACATGTTATGTGCTGTTGCATGATCCCTAGGGGGAAAATTAGACAGTGCCTGCCCCTGTCTGTGTTCCTAATGTAGATCTATATGGCAAAATTTAGGTAGTTATGACACTTATCTTTTCATGTCTGCTAACCCCTTACGTCTAACAATGGCTGGTTGATCAATGACCTTGGCTGGGTTATCCTTCAGGCTCACTGCTTTCACACCTGTTGAAAGAGTAGCCAAGCTAAAGATGAATAAAAGATGGATAATGGAACATGCACTTCTCAGAGCTTTTCAAGAGTTCCCTGCCCAGAGCTTGTTAAGATCAAGTATAGTGGTTCATAGGACTGGTATGGTCAAGGCATGGTATGGTCAAGGCAAGCCTACTTTAATACACCAAATCACACAAAACAGTGATGTGGTCAGCATCCCATCTGGATACCATTGATTCCCCAGTCTGAGTGACTGGGTACCCATTTACAGCTTGATCATTTTGGGCATAAGCTTTGGCATAATCCCAGAGAAAGGCTTAAACGTCCACCTCTAGGCCTCTAGTAAGGCACCTTAACTCCTCTGCCACCATACCCCATCCACAGCCTGTGACACGAGGGAGCAAGGGGCAGACTGGAAGAAAGGACGAAAGGCCCAAGGGATCTATCAGGATATGCAATAGCATCCTGCAGCTCCTTAAACAATGAACTCCAGGGCTTCAAAGTGTTATGCAGCAAAACATCCAACAGTCTACGCTTTGGCAGTCTCACCACCTAGGCAACTCCTTTTTCAAAATGCCAAGGGAGTCAATGTACACTCCAGCAATCCCCCTTTCTCTCAGGCCCAGTGCACAATAAGGAGAAATACTAGGATGTACATGGATGCAGGACTGTGAAGCCAGCACACACCAGAGAGCACCTTGCATTTTTTTAGCTCTGTTTTTAGCTCTCACCAGACTCAAAAGAAGTCATACCAATTTGCAACATGAAATGTACTTTCCTTTAATGCTGTCCAAGTGCCTAGTGTGCATCTTTGATGAACCAGGCAAGTGAAAGTACAGAAAAACCAAAGTACGGGTTGTCACTTGATGACACTTTATTCAACAGACCTCTGAAGACCAGAATGCCTCTACTGTTTGAAATCAATGTCAGTCACTAAGGACTTGAAAATATGTAGAGAGGCAAGTAAAGTAGAACAAAAATCTCAGTGTAATTTGGGATCCAGGAGCTGACACCACTTCATGAGAAGGCATACACCTCTAGTATGAAAAGCCATGCTCATGATGATCACACTGGGGTCAGAAGAGGTAGTTTTGAAGTTGTATGCATCATCACATCAGACACAATGGAGAAACAGGTGACATGTTTTCCTCCTTCATGGGATTTAGAAACCAAGGAGCAGCAAGTCAGCCTTTTTGCCTGCAAAGGTCTCTGGCAGACAATAGTCACAGCAGGCCAAGACATCTGAGCCCCATGACATGACAAAGTCAGAATTATTAGATTTTTACCACAGTTTGACAGCAGTGGTACGGAGGGGACCTGCTGGTCCATGTGACAGCATTAGACACCTGAGAAAAAAGTTGGATGTTGCTATGTGGGTTAGGTAATTGTTTAGAATTACTTGACATGTGAATGATGATGCTATTGATAACTGTGACGGTGTTTGCCTGAAAAAGGAAGATGAGGGGAATTGCAACTTTTTCAAGAAGCTCTGGCACAAGGCAGCCAGGCCTGGTTGTTGTATTTTGCATGTTACACTGTGCTGTGCAGAGTTCAGACACTGAATGCCGCAGATCTGCTTAGAGCTGGCTGGTGACTCCTGAACAACACTTTGTGCAGGATACAGAACTCTGTGGCTCATTCACACCCTTTTGTGTCCTATAGCACTGCTCTTCCCGTGCTGTAAATCTCACAGCTCCTAGAAACCAGATTGTGAAGTAGAAGGGGGGAAAAACACAAAATAACCAAGCAAGATGAGAGATGACAGGGACATAAAAGCTAGGAAAGTCATAGCAGAAAAGATCCTCTCTCCATCTGCTTCATGCCAGCCCTGTGAGTGCTCAGCAGTAAGAGTGCACACAGGCACAGGAAGAAAGGCAGCACGAATGATTGTTTGGAAAGGTCATGCTGAAAGTCAAACAGCAATAACTGAACGGAGAAGCAGCTGCAATGCATCTGCATATTCAGCTTGCTGCATTTCCACATGCTCCTTTCTGAGATGGGAAGGGAAGCTGCATGGCCCTCCATGCTGAGCTGTTAAATGAGTTTCCATCACATAAGCAGAGAAGAGGAGAGTGCTGGTGACTTGCAGCTCTAACAACTGGAGTGTAATTGTGTCCCTGGGCCAGGCAGCTGCTGTCTTCTGCCCTTGCCTGAATGGAGACAACAGTGCTTATTTTTAAAGGAGGTGGGGATTTTTTTGTTTGTTTGTTTGCTTTAACAAAAAATCCAGGGCTAGTGGTGAGAAATGAAAACAGGCAAAGTGGAGAGCTTGCCTCCTGTCTCTTGCTCCAGAAAGAAGGAAAGAGAAATGCCCACAGGGATACATCTAAGGCTGAACCAAGCCAGAGGAAGAAGTAACATAGGGGGAAAGTTTGGGCACAGGCTGGTGAAGGGATGGTGAAAACAACTTAATCCTTAATAGACTAGATGATTGGAGCCTATCGAGAGGGGCAGCCTCTTGGAGAGGTAGAGCCTATGCACAAGAATCCTTCCCCCTTGGAAAGCCAGTGGCTGGTCCCTGCCCTCTCCCTCCCATTGCAGTGCAAACCCCCCCCAGAATGGGAAAAGGAGAAGACCAGTGCACTAGTTTCCCTCTGCAGTGTACATGCAGGTGAGTTTGCAACCCATAGACTGTAGTAGGGTCTAAGCCGCTTAATGGTTATATAGCATAGCATTCACTTTCATCCGCTTGAACAGATTCTGGGTAAGAGAAGAATCAGCAAAGGAAAGGCAGAGGCGAGAGAATGTCATAGGTGAGAAGAGCTCAGAAGGTATAAGAAAGACAAGTCAGAAGTCTGCCAAAGGTCATTTAACGTTCCCATCTGCAGGCAAACCAAGATAAGCGCTCCTTTAAATCTTACCTTTTAAAGCTAAGTAAAAAGTCCTTCTCCCAAACTGGCTGGCCATCTATCAGACCACTGGTTTTCAATCTGTTTAGACTCAAAGCACCCCCTGTTAGACGCTAGCTCTTAGCTTTCAGTTGTTTCTTGGCTACGGAAAAATGATACAGCAATTCTGCTGTTGTAAAGAACTCAAAAAGACTACAACAAACCAGAATGTTTTTGACATTATGGATTCCAGTTCAAAATCTCTAGGTTTATTTTGTGCATTGCATGTATGTGTTTGCACACCTAACAACACTTATATTTTGTGGAAGCCCGTGGCATCCTTTAAAAGATCTCATGGCACCCCAGCACCTGGGCTGAAAATCACTCTGAGAGGCTTTTAGGATTTTAGGACTTAGATTTATGATGCATCTCGTGCTGTTTCAAATATTAAAATTCGGAGTGAACCTTTGCTTATTTGGTTTGATCGGCCTTACCTACTTGTCTTACTGTCTCAGTCATAAACAATTTGTATTGCTGTATTAAGTGCTATAAAAAGCTTATTTCAGCTTCAATCTCTTGGGTACCTGATTCTAGTGGAACAGTCTATCATGACTCTCCCCAGGAATGAGTTGTGGCTGTGCTGTGCTCTCCCCCCCCACAGGTCTTGGCATGTGGGATCATGCTGGCCTCCTTAAATATTGTTCAACAGCATGGATTAGGCAGTTGGAAGCCCCTGGTTTAGGCATGAACAGGGCTTAGTAGCTGGAGAGGCCTCATTAATCCTCACAGCAGCCTGGGGAGGCAGGGCTGATTCCCACTGTCTAGGCGGAAATACTGAGGCACACAACACTGCCCAAGCCTTGCTGGAGAGGCAGAGGGGCAGGAGCACAACCTGAGGTGCAGGGGGAGGAAGGGTGGAGGAATGGCCTGTTGGTTGCACTGAGGAAGCACATCCAGGTGTGACAATTGCTAGAGCATGCTAACAGCACATTGTGGGCTCTATAAATAACAATGTGTTGTCCTCTGGGATAAATATCTTGCTGCGCAGCCCTGTACTCTCTTTCAGTTGTTTCTCCATGCTGCCAAATGATGAGTCAAACTTACCTTAATGGAGTTTGCTAAATGCTTTGTGTGGTGCTTACCTTATTAAAGCAGCTTAATTAAATAAAAGTAAATATCTCCCAGCAAACTGTATCCCTCTGATAATCAGCACAATTGCTTTATTGGCATATTCCTTTCTGCACTAGGAGTCTATCAGTCTTCAAATCTGGGAAGGAAATGAATTCACAGAAACAATAAACTCTGTCTTCCTGTCAGGGATCCTTTAGCAGGATTCACATTCTTTATTTGAGGAGAAGGTGTGGAGGTGAGGTTGGCAGGGGGAAAGGTGTCCTTGGAAGGGGTACGAGGTGCAGCGTCCTACATAAGGAGATTGCCAGAACCCACAGAAAGTGGGGGATCACTTCTCCTTGTCTTCAGAAACCATTCTGTCATTGGGAAGGCATCTCGTATTGGTCTAAAAACCGCCCTCTGTGGTGATGAGAAGGGAGGAGGGGCTGCCTGTATCCAGCCAGAGTTAAATCTGCTTCAGGCACACTTGGGTTAAAGATCCAGATTGTTGCGTCTTCCATCTTCCCCCATTTCAGCACACCCAGTGGATTTTGACAAGATCTGATTCCTCGCTTGCACAAACAAGTGGAGCTCTCTGGCCCAAAGATGATGATATCTTGAATTTCTATAATTCCTTGCACCCCCAAAGGATTTCAAAACAGTTTACGAACTGATATACCAACCATGCGGCAAATCTCTTCTTCCATTTTTAAACTGCAAACACTTCTGGAATGAAATGGGGTGCTTCTTTAATATCACATGCTGACATGACATAAGTGTCCTGTGCAGCAGCAGAGAGATTTTAGGGTCATTATACTTCTCTGAGCTGGTATTTAGCTAGGAGAAGACTCTAACCTTGTCTAATAATAACAAAAAAATGTTTTTCTCAGGTTTCTGTCTCTGTGAAACCCATCACCTCCAATTTTATAGCCTTTTTCCTGACCCAGTGGTTTCAGGCAAAGTGGATGCAATATGCATAATATCAAAAAACAAAAACAATTAAAAAGACAATGTCATGTCCTTTATGTCGGAAGGAGCCTGGGGCTTCTGTGCAGCTTTTCTCTGTAAAAGAACACTTAAGGGGTTCTTATTATTAGAATATTAATTATAGTCATATATTTATTTCCAGAATTACATTTTCCTCCAGGTTTCTGGAAGTCAATTACTTTTGAAAGAACAAAGGCAAACCTGTGATCATGCCCCATAGGGAGTTCCATCATCAATGAGGAGTAAGGTTAAGGACCTGGCTTAATCAAAAATTTTGGGTGTTCCTTCAGCGCAGTCTCTAAGCCTCGCTCCTTTTTGATTTTCACATCCCTGTAGATGAACTCTTGTCTTGCTCCCTTCTGTTCCAGAGTTATCTTTTTTTTTTCCTTAGAAGTTCCCACTGACTCCTGTGGACTCTATGCCCCAGTCTCCATCTGATAGTAATCACTTGTATGCTTCACTGCAGATCCCCGTTCTTCTTCACTTGGACTCACCAGTGAATTTTGGCCATCTCTGACCATGAGCCTTCTGTCCTGCCTTCGCTCTCCCATCTAGCACCTGGTTCTTGAAGAGCCTCCTCATCATCTGCTTCTGCTGGGGCACCAAATACTTCCTGACATATGCCCAAGAAAGAAAGGGTATGGGTGAGTAATTCAAGCCAGCTATTCCTTACCTCATGTCTGAAGTACCCTGATGGCTTTTAGCCTGGTGACTAAAAGTGGTTTGTTTTTTTAATCAGCTCTTCTTGCTCTGCAATTCCAGGCCTTTGCATAGCTTTACATTTTATCCCTCCTGTGTCAGCTTTTGAACACAACATCTTTCTTGCACATTCTCTCCTTTCCCCACCCTCTACCATCTTTCTTCATATTTTTGCCTTCACCAGCTCCTTTCCTATCCCCATCCCCACCTTTAAAATTCATCAGTTTGGTTGGAAAACCACTTTTTTTTGCACTGGTGCCATGGGTTTATAAGTCACTGGAGATTAGTCCAGCTGCCTTTAAAAGAAAAGAGGTGGCACAGTTGGATGTTGGAGAAGTTTTAATAGGGGGCAGATATGGGGCTGCAGTTCCTCGGAGGCACAGAACAGAGGGCATAACCCCGGAGAAGAGAGCACAAGGATGGGTGTAAGACAGCTTTGTATCCTCTCCATTCTGAGTTGATCCAAGGCTGAACTAGTCCTCATTCTAAGGCTGAGAAACCCTGTGCTACCTGTGGGGAACAGGGCAACCCAGAGCTCCCAGAATCCCATGAACATGCCCACTCGTTCACTTATAGCTTCACCCCTGGGGAATTCTTCTTAGTCCTTTGTGGCTAGACAAAACATAGTCTCCAGGTATCTTTCCTTTGTTCTCCTTCACATCTTCATTTATTAATACTATATGCACATGCTCTGCTTGGTTTTTATCCCAGTCCTCAATACACAAAGAACCACAGATCATAGCACTTTGTTCCTTCTGTTACAGAAGGCCACAGACCTTCAGGCACTTCCCGGTCCAAGCTCTTGCATTGGACTGCTTATCAGATTAAAGAAGGGCCGCTTCACTGAAGAAACTTTGCAACCAGCTTACAGTGGAACATTTGTTCAAAAAGGAGAAAACAGCAAGGGCCAGAAAACCAGAGTATATGCCCAGTGCCTTCTGGATTTGACATGTCTCAAGCTGGCCCCTTGAAACTGCAGTGGAAGCAGGGGAAATTCCCCTCTACATATGCTGGTTCCTCACCCTTTACCTGTTTCATCTTCTTGCTTTATTACTTCCTCCATCTTCTTTAAATTCCCTTGATTAGTCTAGGTGGAAAGCTGCTGTGCCTGCCTTCTCATGCATACAAAGAAGAACAGCCACATTGTCCCTGTCCTCCCTAGGCTCCATTGGCTCCCTGTTCATTTCAGGAACCAGCTTACAGTCAATTTCCTTATAGATTCATAGATTCATAGACATTAGGGCTGGAAGGGAACTTGGAAGATCTTCAAGTCCAGTCCCCTGCCCCCTTATTTAGCCCCCCATGGGATCTCAGCAACCTAACTTGTAGACCGCCTCCCTCCACTCTTCTCCCTCTCATTTTTTCTGCCCCAGTAGTACAGGGTCATCTAACCTAAACACATTCATGCAGTGACTACTGTGAAAGCCTGTTTTCCCTTGTAACTTCCACCATCTGAAACAGTCTTTTTGTATCTTTCTGCCTCATCGACTTTCCATCTATTTTCAAATCTCATCTGAAAACCTCTCTTCTCCTTTTGCCCATACCTCTTAATTTCTCTCTCCCTCTGCTATTATGTATTATTTAACTCTGATAAGTATCTTGGGATGCTATTTGTAAGAAATGCATTCTACAAAATAGAGTTGTATTTTACTGTCAGTGGAGCTTAGCCAATGTATTTGCTTTCCCCCTCAGCTTCCTGTAGAAAGCAGACTCCCTCTGCTGATGGACAGCAGTGCTGTCTGTGTAGGGATGTACTGAGGATCACTCAGCAATTGGGAGGAGAAATGACATGGTCCTTCACTACCCCATAAGTTCCTGTTTAAAACTCAGGTTTACATGTCACTGGAGTACTGCCCTGTGTGGAAGGTAGAAGAGTGATCCCCTAGAAACATGCAGCTGATGCAGTGTTATATCCAAATACCAGAGCAAGAGCACCTTCATACAGACCACTGGTAACCTCCACCAAATGGAGGTGGGGAGTTTAGGTGGATTGTGAAGGGGGATGACAGCCAAAGCAAAATTGCCCAACCTTGGCAGCTGTTAAGATGCAAGAGGAGCATGTTTAGGGCTAACAAGAAAGAGAGAGAGATTTTGCTCATTTCCATTGTTTGCAATGTCTTGCATCCTTCTTTGCTACAAGTCTGCTTCTCTCATCCCAGTTAAGGACCTAGCTGCCTTGACAGTGTCTTCACTATTCATCTCACTGAGCCAGCTACTAAGCTTGGTGATGTTCCCTGGAGCAGACTCCCTCAAAAATTCCACTGTCCTCTACAGCCATGTCTGCACGTCTTTGGAAATGACGCAGCAGTACCCTACCAACCATGTTGGGAGAACCATCCACAGCAATAATAAATAGAGGACATTTATTTATAATAGAGGACATGAGCAAAGTGGGAACTTATATGGGTAGAATTTCTATAATGATGGAAAACTGGAACTGAACTGTTAAAATAACCTATTGTCAGGATATAGTCAACTGTCACTGAATCCCTCCACTTACATGCTGAACCCATTTTCCCTTGCCTACCATCTTTCATTATTATTTGTATTTCAGCCTCACCCTGTTAATCACTGTCCAAGCACATAGTAAAAGGCAGTATCCATCTCAGTGTATAGCCTTAATGGACAAGAAAACATTATTATTATTACCATTTTACAGACCAGAAACTGAGGCCCAGGAAGATAAAAGCCCAGGGCTGCAGAATTTCTGAATCATTGTTATTCTTTCTCAGGGAGAAGTATACCTCAGACCATTACATAGAGTCTCTGGAGTGGTCCTCTTTTTGTGCTGGGCCCTGAACTTTTCAAAGGGAGAGGACAACAGCCCATCTATGTTAGGACTGGGTCTCTTGATTTCCCTACTGTGGCTGGCCAGTTGGGGGAGCTCCTGCATTGAGCCTCCCACCTCACTACGCCTGTCCACCTTCTGTACTCCACGTGTCTCTCCAGGGGCGCCTAAGCCCAGGCAGACCCACTTTCAAGCCCCACTGCAGAGTCTGGGGGTAAAGTGTGTGCCACCACCCTGAGAAGGGACTGTCTCAATCCTGTGTCCTTGAGGAAACACAGGCCTAATAGTCCTACTGGTACTTGACCCAATACAAGAACTTGGGGTACCTCCTCAAGTCGGGGGCCAAAAATAGTCTCCCTTAGTCAGCAGACCCAAGGGGCCTCCTAGCCATAATTAAACCCACCCCTCAATAAGTCTCCTACACCAGTCACAAAGGAGAACTTTAGTGCTCCTGACAGGGTGAGGTAGAATAGGGTAAGAGGTAGAGCACTATCAAGGGATTACCATTGAGCAAAACAATCTGGCTGAGGTAGCCATTTGATACACAATTGCATCACCATGAGCTGACTAGCTCTCTAGAAACACTTACAAGTATCAGTCAGAAGATGGTAGAGATCTGGCTCGGAGATAAGGAAGCCTTATTTAGCCAACTGCAATGTGGAGTTCTAGGGTCCTCAGGGTCACATGTTATAGGCTCGGCAATACTACACTCGCTAGCACCATAACTGAAAGAGACTTGGGGGTCATGACTGACCACAAAATGAACATGAGCCACTTGTGCAATGCCACAGCTGGCAAAGCAAACAAAACTCTGGCCTGCATCTACCAGTGCATCTCAAGCAAGACCCAGGAAGTCATCCTCCCACGTTACTTGGCCTTGGTGAAACCACAGCTAGAATACTGTGTCCAGTTCTGGGCTCTGCAATTCAGAAAGGATGTGGAGAAGCTTGAGAGAGTCCAGAGGAGAGCCATGCAAATGACTAGAGGACAAGAGAGCAGGCCTTATGAGGAGAAGCTGAGAGCCATGGGACTCTTCAGCCTGGAGAAGTGAAGGATCGGGGGGACTTGGTGGCAGTCTGTAAGTACATAAGGGGTGTTCCTCAGGAACTGGGAGAATGTCTGTTCCCCAGGGCACTCCATGGGAAGACAAGGTCCAATGGTCACAAACTCCTGGAAGACCATTTTCAGCTGGACATAAGGAAAAACTTCTTTTCTGTCCGAGTCCCCAGGGCCTGAAATAGACTCCCTCCAGAGGTGGTGCAAGCACCTACTATGGATACTTTCAAAAAACACTTGGATGCCCATCTTTTTAGGATCATTTGACCCCTGCTGACTTCCTGCCCCTTGGGCAGGAGGCTGGATCT